TGAATTACGACGACAGGACTTTGTAAAATATTTACGTAATTTATGATAGCGATAGCCTTGTTAAAGAATTAAAAAATTCTGGAAACAAGTGATCCCTCGGAAGCATTAATCACAACAAAATTACAAGAGAATTGCAGACTCGGTTTGATTGAGTCTGTACATGAGGGATAATGAATACGTGCAACATCCCTCACGCCCCATAGCACCGGCTTGAAAGAAGTTTGCCAGTAATAAATAAATTGCGTTCATTAGAATCATCCACACGACAGCAGGGCCAGGCAAATCTAATTAACTTAAAACTATATATACCCAATATGATGTTGCATGAAGTACATGTGAACAGTTAAACAACGTTATTTAAAAAAAACCAATTATCATAGATTTTAGTTACTATCTTATTGTTAATGATAGAAATGTTTAAATTTGAAAATATTAAGTTTGTTTTATTCATTTTACGTTCACTATGATATTTTTAAGATTTCACTTGATCAAATATGAAAAACAAGATCAACAAGGAAAGGCGGCGTTCAATGAACGCAACCCCCATATGACCCAGCAACAAGAACCAATGGCAAGGAGCCCAGGTGGACCCCAAACATAAAAAGGACAGGGCAACGACACGTTAATCATTAAATGATAAATTTGATTATTCATGTTAAGGATATCATCCAGGTAGCGGTAAGTGCTATTTAATGCAACGTATAGCTTCCGGTTGTAAAATAGTAGAGAGACTTAACATAAATCCCTCTAGTAACAATATAAATGTAAATAAAGTAAACTAACATGTCATTGACATTATGATTGTAAAAATCAGGAAAAGAGAAGAGCCTTTGAGAGCAATTAAACATGGCAAAGTTGATAATTCAGACTCAGTTTGATGGGGTCTGTTCATGAGAGACCATATCTCACGTCTCTTAGTACCGACTAAGTAGTATCCCATCCTCAACTATATATATAAGTTCTGCTTAAGCCGGTGCTAGGGGGCGTGGACGGTAACTTGCACTTTCCAGTACCGTCCATGAACAGGCTCAATCAAACCGAGCCTGCAACATTTTCAATTTTGTCGTGTTGGTGTTTCTTTAGGGATTCTCTATTTATCTATTTTGCAGTCAATGATTCCGAAAGACCAAGTCGTCCGGTTAGCTCAATAGGTAGAGCGTTGGACTGTGAATTGGGCAACCCGTGTTTGATTCCCGGACGGGGCAGGTCATTTTCGTTGTGATTGATCATGAAATAGTTTCTACGGTTATTCGCACTGTACACTGCTCTGCTATGTACAGAAGTTTCAGTTCCTTGCGAAAGTGAGGGCAACTAGAACTGGCTGGTAAACTGCTTTACAGCCTGTCCAGGAACGATTCGGTGGCTGAACTGTGCTGTGGTAAATTTAATATGGTTACTGCCGTGATCCGGATTGAAAACTACCGACACAAAACACCACCATCCCGAAGGACCTATTAATATAACACTGCTAACCTGCTGTTGCAGACTCGGTTTGATTGAGCCTGTTCATGGACGGTACTGGAAAGTGCATGTTACTCTACGCCCCTAGCACATAGTATTACTATCAAGTACCCGACAGGGAAAAGATTAGCTATTTTCGTCCAAGCGAAAGCTCTTCTTAATTCCTCCCATGAAATAGAGAAAAGCAAGAATCCCTAGAGAAAGTCCAACACAACATAATTGAAAATGCTGCAGGCTCGGTTTGATTGAGCCTGTTCATGGATGGTACTGTAAAGTGCAAACTACCTTCCACGCCCCCTAGCACCGGCTTAAGCAGAATTCAACATTTATAATGAATTGGTACAATTTTGAATTTTGAAACATCCGCAGATGTGTTCATATGGCGGTTATCATGGTACCTTCAATGTGACACGTTAGTGCCATTCCATGATAAGCGGCATATGGTCCCAAGTAAGAAAATGCGTGTGCCCTAAACGAGAAAAAAATGGGCGTAACTAAATAAAATGGAATTTTGAAAGGGGATCAGAGGTTATGAAGCCTGCGTATCACAGATAATACGTCAAAAGACAAATTTAAAAAGCAGGCCACATATCCTATGGGTGATTCAACATTATTCAAGTGAGGAATACTGGAACCACCCAACAAGAAAAAAGCCAAATAGAAATAACTAAATTACCACAAGCACAACAATTATGTTTAAGGATCGGAAATATATCATCTCTGATTAAATGTACGGGGCTACTTTTTACAGCCTCCACACGGCACAAACAACGCTGATGTGACGATAAAATAGGGAAAGTTCAACACAACATAATTGAAAAATGTTGCAGAGTTAACAACAAACTTGAAACAAAATGCTCAAAATCATACACAGGAGCTGTCAGTAGTACAGCGTGCTCGACTATTCTCAGTGCTTGATAGTAAAAAAATATAATATAATATTGTAGAAAAGCTTGATACAGTGACCTCCTCGATCTGTACACAGGTTGAAATTATGGTGGTGAACAAGTGTGCAAGGTCTTAAAGCGATATGTCGGTGGGATTTTGAAATTATCTGAGGTGGTACTGTAAATTCAAAGTTGAAAAAAGGGGCATAATTCTGTCAAAATGCTTGATAGACCTCATAAAGTGTTCAAGTGGAGGGCATGATGGTAAACAAGCGTGCAAGTTCCAATATCATATGTCAATTGACTTTGAGATGGTACGCAAACTTTAACGCCGACGCTCGGGCGACTAGGATAGTTGTCCTTAATCGTCGAAAAGCTAAAAAGAAAATTATATATATTTTCAATTCGCTCAATATATATATATATATATATATATATATATATATATATATATATATATATATATATATATTTATATTTATATTTATATAATATTTTATTCATACTTCAGATCCAGTCTAGCAGAAAAGTCTCTTACTGTAAACTGAATAACCTACCCATTTTAAATGTTCTAGCAAATTACATTTTACATTTTAATGTATATATTATATCCGTCATCAAAAATGACAAAACTCCATATGTGGTTCAATGGTAGATTATCATATGTTAAGCCAATGCCTTAAAACAAGAGCTGCATGTCAGACAGCACGCTCGATTATTTAAAATCAACAGCCTGCATAATAAAGAAATTCTTATTCATAAAGTAGTATAACTCCTTGAAATAAAAACATGATAAAGGGAAGTAACCTACAATAATGATGGTTGTGGAGATTAATCTTGTCCGAAAAATTCTGTAAGTTAATAAATAGATATTATTATTTCCTTATAAATGCTTAGCTTATGGGTCTTGAACAGTGACCTGCAAGTATAATCAAAATCACATTTGAAGACTAACAATGAATGTTTATGGCTAAGGAGAAACAACCTTGCAAACAAATCCTTAACAAAAGGCAAGCACAAGGTCAACGCAAATACCGCAGGTCAGTAAATTAGTTCCTTATTGTGTGCATAAAACAAATAAAAGAGATATATCAACATTTAGACACACATGCAGGGCATTTTCTATGAAAGGTAAGATGTCTCATCACTAACCAATTAAATAAAATTGTTAATCTTTTTAATATCACTATTATAATATAAAACTAAAAAGTATTTAATTTAAAGTTGACTCCCCGTTCGTAATACCCCACCACTTTGTATATGAATTTAAATCAAAAAAAACCACATTTGTATATGAATTTAAAGCTCAATAAAACACATTACACTTATGGCGATATAGTTCGCTTAAGTTAAAAAAATTATAAACTATTTTGTTTTTAAAAAAACTAAAAAAAATTTAAAAAAAAGCCAATTTATACTAGTTTTTTGGGGTTTTGGCGGCCTTTCTTTTGACCCCATCTTGGATATCTTAGCTTGATATAGGGGTTTTGGACAAATGAATATCCATTCCAGAAACTACAGATCCAGACGAACATTTTGGTATATGAAACTTGCTGTTGGCTGACATAGATTACTTACCCCTCTAAATAGGCTAGTAAAATAGGCTGATTTGCAGCACTAAAGGGCTATATTTGCATATTTTGACTTCTTTTTGGTTATTTACATGGGTTGCTAGTGCCGTTTGCAATATGTAAATTTTTTTTTTTTTTTGTTAATTTCACAATATTTTACTTTTTAATATATTTTCAAGATTTTCATGAAATAAGTAAACACCAGCAGGTGCGTGCTGCTGTAGGAAAATGCTGTCATAATAACACAATATTTTAATTGTATGTTTATATATGTCTTGGAAATAAGATGATTCTTAAATATGCTCAAAGGGTGATATCTCTTTTGCTATTTATTACATAAATATGGATATTTTTGTGCACATTCATTACATGAGTATGTAAAGAAAGCCTGGCGATGTTCCCCAATCTTGATTCTTTTCGCGCGGTGATATTTATGACATAATCTTGTGTACTAGTCACGAGCTGTAATATATAATTATGGTATTCAATATTTTTAGGACAATTAGTTTATTTAAACTGCCAAAGACAGTGTATATATTTCTATTTTAGATCAGAAACATTATTTGCTAAACTTAAAAAAATAGCTGCATTTTCGGAAGTATCGCACTAAGAAAAGCTGAAGTATATTATTTTATTACTCATTCGTCGTTGTAAGAGAAACTCTTTAAAGCAAGAGAGTAATTAAAGGTCTGAGAGATTTCACTTTGTATTTGAAGATCTGATGAAGTATTTTTCTGAGAAAACCAACGATACTTGAAAATCGGAGAGTATTCATGAAAACAAAATTATGCTAATGATTTTTATTATTTAACATGTATATACTGTATAAGTATTTTGAAAGTCAAAGGGTAAAGTAAGACTTACAAAGCCACAATTGTGTTAAGAGGATGGATATATGTCACGAGTAATAATAAAATGAAATTTGGTTTAGTGACCCTTGAAATTTGCTTCCTGTAAATGACAGTCTCGATTAAAGCATACTTCCCGATATATGGATTTAACAAACTAAGGTTCAACAGTATTTAACCACAATATCTTGACGACAATGAAATGTAAATTATTTCTTAAAAAATGTATTTCTATGACGTATGCAAAAATAATTGTTCTTGATAGTCAATTTACTGGAAAGAAAACAATACATATAGTTTAAAATACTTGGCCCTCGAGCTCTTACAACACGGATATTATTACAAGCGCCAATAATTGCTGCGCATTATCTGAATGATTTCATTTTGTGATTCTACTGCCGGACGACCCGGATTGTTTGTGGATATTTCAGAAACAAATTCTTTTCAAGGCTGACAAATGCGTCTTTGATAAGGTAATACCGTTTTAAAAAAGTTGTAATGTTCAAGTCAAATTTTAAAAAAAATACTTGTATTATGTCTTTAAAAATATCAAAATAATAATTTATGCATACGGTATAATTTTTTATGGGAAGAGGATATCTAAATGGATTCTTTCCTTTTGTTACCTCCATTTTACTTTTGACTGAACGCTTTAAATAATTTCTAACTGGTCACCTTTATGTCAAAGAAATCATTAAGAAAAGTATCAACGAAAAAAGAAAAAAAAATGAAAATTGAGAAAAAATTCTTACTGATCATTTTGATTTGCAGATAGTATGACAACTTTATAACTTTATCAATGAAAGGTAACACCTGATAATATTTTAGAAACAGTGATCTGTTAATCAAAAAATTTCGAACCTACCGGTAAACACTGAAACGGAAACTTATTTGTATGTTTTTTAAACGGGCAATAGCAACTTGATACCGACTTCAAAATAAACCTTCAAACATAAAGCTATTTGATTTTTAGTCCTGTTCTATAAACTTGTGGCTCCATGTCATGCCAATTATTCGTGCAAGACTTCCTACACAGTGCAATTAGATAAAAGTCAAACTATCAAAAAAGGCCATTTTACATGTGTTAATAGCAGGTGTTATCTTATATTATCAATTGAAAATGTTTTATATGTCTAATAGCTAGTGTACAGATTTCTAATCTTTAACAGCAATATGATTTGAAACAATGTCGTAATTGAGAAGACAGACTGATTGAAATAAAAAACGGAGTGGCTATTAAACTAACGTAATTTTTACAGAGAGAATGTAGTAAAAATTCATTGCAATGTATAGGGCATAATTTGATTCAGATAGCAAACATTAAATCGCCTCACATTCTCGCCAGACATAATGTTTTTCTAATCAAGTACTCAATACAGATCAAATATATTTCCAATTGTGAGACAAACACCTTTTTTTGTGCTGCACGTGATTGAAATTCGCTTTTTTGGTATTTTAGTCACGCATCGTTGGTTTTAATCAGAAAACTCAGTTTTGATATGTGGATATAATAGACGTTACTTACAAAACAATATGTAATAAAATACAGTGTTTAACTGTTTACCTATCAAAGAAACATATAATAATTTCGACTTAAATACCCCTGTCAAGCCTATAGAAATATATCTTATCGTATTATCCTACCAAACAAGGTGTTGAAATCAATTTACCCCCTTGTACATCGTCTCGTCTGTTAATTTGAAGATAATTCCAAAAACAAACTCAATAAGTCGGTTTCAACAACTCCTTATTCCATTTGAACATGGATTAATAATATCTGTCATATTTTGCGGTTCGGATCGGAATATCCGTCCCGAAATGACCCGCCCATCGGGCGGTAACGAGCCTTTATTTTATTTTGTTTAACTTGTCATAATTTTGTATAGATTTATTCATTATCATATAAAACAAAACAACACTTGTGACCAAAAGAATAGGCTGAATAATTTAGATATGACATTGACCTTTAAATGACATTGGGTATTAATGTTACATGATTGAATTTTGTTGATATTTTCTAAACTTTGTCATTTATTTATGGAAATGATTCAAACCTGGAAAAACAACAAGTGTGAGCAATTAAAATAACGAAAAATGAAACCATATTTTTTTTCTTTAATTTGTCTTTTTAAAGATTTTTTAAACTGTTTATATGTTTGCTTTTAGAAAAAGTCAAAAGCTCTTGTTTTACTTAAACTGGAACGATGTTAAGATTTTTTGCAATAATTGCTAAAAGGGATGATTTATCTATTTATTTTATTTAGTTCAAGTCTATTCTTGTTCTATTGACAACATCTCTTACAAACTCCAAAGTCTTAAGTTATCATTAATTTATATTATGCATGCTGGTATAAACAAGAAAAAAAATATATTCATGGCCGATGGACTGAAGTTTCAAGCTGTGTCCTAATTTTATTTTCATATACGGACAAAACTTTTAATTATAAGCTGTCTAGATATACCGACAACCTCCATGCATTGATTTTCCCATCATTTTTCAACGTTTTTGGAAGTAACTGCTTATTATTCGGCATTAAGGAGTATATCCTATCTGACGAATTTGCTTTACCGGAATGAATATTTGTCATAAACAAAATATATAACGCTTGCATTATTTACATCATGTTTATCAGACAGTTGCTGTGTCACATGTCATGATTGTCTGAATAATCCTTGAAAGTGCAAAGAATGATGGTCGAAACAAAAACATAATTAGATACGAACGAACATGTATTGAGAGTTTTAAATACAAGATCAAAATTAAACAATATTCTACCTTAAAATAAAACAAACTGCAACAAACTTTAAATTACAATTGTAATTACATAATGTTTTTAACTTTTAAAGGTTAAAACATTTGATATGGAGGTGCCAGGACGTAAGGAGAGCAGTGATGATAAGGTCAAGCGAAAATGCCAACCCTGCCAAGACGAAAATGTTCTTCATGAAGCTTACGGCTATTGCATAACATGTGGAAAATACTTGTGTGATGCTTGCTTCAAATATCATCGTCGACCAAAACCTTCCAAAGATCACGTTCTTGTTGAATGCAAGACCATTTTGTCAAAAGAAAGAGCCCCCACGCCTCCAGACCCAGATAAACATAAGGTTTCAGATGACCAGGATCTGCAGCAAGGTGAAAATAATGATAAATGCAAGACAAAGAAATCTCCCCCACCAGTTCCAAGCAGAAAGGGGATATTCAATACAAAATGTTCTGTTCACCCTTCAGAAGATCTTAAATATCAATGCAAAAGTCATGAAATAATTGTATGTAGCGAATGCGCTTTAAAACAGCATAGACAATGTGATGAGCTGTACAACATTCATGATATTTATGATTCTGAAAGTAAACGCATTTTTTCAAAAATCCAATATGTAGAAGATAAAGCAGCGTATATACTAAAGCAAGAAACAAATGCCAACGAAGATTCTGACGTATCCTATGAGGAGGTTTTGTCACAAATCCGTTTAGATAGAGAGCAAGTTAACAAATATTTTGACGAAACCGAAAAACGCTTAAACAATGAGGTTTATAGATTCCGAGAGGGAAGCAAGAAGAGGCAGACGGAGGTGCTCGATATATGTCAGAAACTTAAAACGGTATGATAAATATGTAATTATATATAGAATCTTTCAATTTTTGTTGTTTTCAGGTTTAAACCTAGATGTTACATGACAAACAATCTCCAATGAGCCAATGAGCGTGATACGGTCCCAATATTACTTAGATATGACTTGGGTAGTTTTGCTACGAGATCAGTGGTTGTTATGTATTCAACCAATGAATTAATAAAATGCTGACTGTGTATACATTTGTCGCACTTCATCCAAACAGGCAATTTATTCTTTAAACTTTCCGTGAATTGGTTTCATATTTATTGACTTTTGTATGGACATATTTTTGACAGATACCAAACTTTTTTTTCTATTAATAAAGGATTTATTTTCATTGAGTGGTATGAAAAATAAATTCATATGTGGCGGTATTCAATGGTAAAATATGATAAGTTTCAAACCACATTATGAAAATAAATCATGTATGTATAGAAAAACTTGAATTTTCTGTATATTATATACATTTTTTTGAAAGACTTTCCTAAATTTTTTTGCTTTGGCTGAATTTAGATGAAAGTAGTCCGGCAAGATATCCGTAAAAATACGGAAAATATGTGCAGTGGACTGTGTTAAAAAAAGAATAATGTAAAAATATGGAAATTGAATCATCAATATTTCTAAATAAGTAAGTATGTAATGAATTTGTCTATTTTTATTATGATTTTGAGTACTTACATAATATTTTTACGGTTTCAGAAAAAAGACTTAATACGTGATACCAATTTATCAGAAATTGAGAGATACATATCAATGACCGAAGGAGAGGGCGAAGTAGACAACATAAAGAGAGATCTCAAGGGAGTTTTCGGTCTGAGTTTACGTGTTTCTTATAAATCACAGTACCAAATGCTTGATTCGGAAAACTTTGTTGTCGAGAAACATCAAAGACGTAAACTTAAGCTTCAAAAAAAGGTAAATATAGCAGGTGGAAAGCAGTCGTGCTCTATAACTGATATAGCAACACCCTCAAATGAAACATTTTCCGTGATACTTGTAGATAATATAAACAAAAAAGACTGATTATTTATTTCCGTTGAATACTCACTGATGTATCACCAGCTTGAATGGTTACCTTGGGGAATCACATTTATCAGCTATGATAGGCCAAATGGTGAAATAGCAAATTTCTTGTCCATATGATGACAGGATATTATTTTTTACTATCGATGAAATTATTACTGTAAGTAAGCGTACATCTATAAAAGTGGACAGTCCCGGAGGAATCAGATATCATAAGTCTGAAAATGTGATGATAGTTGCCACAGATTATGAAAATGCTAGCATTCAGTGTTGGTCGCTTAATGGACATTTTGTGAGAACCGTTGCTTCTTTCGGTTACCGCATTGACAGAATAAACCTGACAAATGATGATCAAATCATTTTTGCTTCTCCTTCAAAGCACTGCATACAGTCGTGTGATATGTCTGGCAATATCTTAAGAGATTTTCCATATATAGATGACAAAATGCGTGGACCATTTGGTATTACCGCTGACCAATTTCAGTCAATCTATGTATGCGGATTTAACTGTTTAAGTGTGGTTTCAATTGAAGGGGAATGGAATGAACTTCTGACAAGTGATGGCGGATTTGCACCACAGTCACTCCTTGTCAGTAATAGGTCAGACAGACTTTACGTTGGACAAACAAGAAAACAATCGAGTGCTGATTTTGATTTTCTTATTTTTGAATTATGAAAACAATATGACAAACTAAGACATTGAAAAACCTATCAAAATGTAACAGCTTTCGCTTTCTAATTATAAACCTGCTGACATTTCAATATTAAAGGAGCCATAAGCAAGTGATTTTTTTTATTCTTTACGTAAGGAATGCAGAGATGTTAAGGCTATGATGATATATTTATAACATTTCGTGTTATTATCAAAAACTTGCTTAATGTAAAATATTGTAAATCAATAAAAGTATTCAGGACTTTTAATTTAAAGAAATTTTAACTGTTAACGGTTAAGTATTTAATGAAAGGGATATAGACATAGACATTTATGTTTTTATGTTATGATTGATTAATGGGAAAGAAAAAACTGGTTAGCAAATGCATGATTATGGTTTTGCATATGTGTGAGATTCGTCTGAAACCGATTGAGAAAAGACTTTTATATTATGTTTAAATCAACGGACCATCGACAGCCATGTTTAAGGGGGCATGTGAATAAGGAAAACAGTCTATAAGAAGTATCTAACCATGTTAAAAGTGATTTTAAGTATGCAAAGTAATTGGATGGTATGCCTTGTAATTTAAGATTTTATTTTAGGTTGTCTTTCACAACCTTCGAAAATTTAAACAGGTCGAAACGGTACGAAGAGAATCGTGTGAAATCAACGTCATTGTATATATACTTAGATAAGCACGACATTAAATAGAGGATATTGAATGAGTGTAGGTTTAATACTAAATTTATTGAACGAGTTGAATAAAATCATATTATGCGAGCCTCTGGCGAGCATTAATATTGTTTTATTCAACGAGTTCAATAAATTAAGTATTGAATCTACACGAATATAATGTTCTATTTATCACATATATAAAATAAGAACGGTAAACTGTTAACAAGAGTCATTTTTTTTGACACGCCGATAGTGTAACGCTAACATTAGCGCGCTTTAACGCTATGTTTATAGCGCAAATTACGTGACGTCAAAGTGTTATTACACTAGTGTAATATTGACTAGTGTAATATCGTTTATATTAAATGGCTTCATTACACCTTTGCACCGCGGTTTATGTGATAAAGACGAATATCATTTAATTTTGATTTGCCCATGTTATATTGATTTATGAAAATTGTACATAAAATGTATTATTGTGTTAAACCATGCATGTCTAAATTTATAGAACTTTTAAAAATGATAAAATAAGAATCTCACTAATTTAGCTATTAAACTTGCAATGTCTTAAAGATCAATCGAGGTGTTAAAATATTTTTTTTGTAACTTCACTGAAAAATAGAAAATTGCATTAAAATACAATACTATCACGGCCGTAGGCATTTAACTAACAGTTCTAACAATGTGATTGATAATATGTGAAGGACTTCTTAAAAGAAAATGGATTTGACGGAGTCAAAATGTTTCCACACCCTGTTAAAATTGATACCCGTATGACAAAAACATTTAGACTCGTTTATAGCGTACTAGAGAAGAAATATTGAATCTCTCTGTTTTTACAAGGAATTGAAAAATAAATTTGAAATTTCAAGATTTTCGATTATTTTTAATAATTTAAAGTACAGATGCGCTGTTACAGAAGTAATGCGTTTAATTTACTTAAAAATTAGAGGAAAATAGATAACTAGTCTATCAATTTCCGAGAAATAAAAGGAAATGTATATATGTCTATATTTATATGTGTGTGTGTGTGTGTGTGTGTGTGTGTGTGTGTGTGTGTGTGCGCGCGCGCGCGCGTGTGTGTGTGTGTGTGTGTGACGTCATTGACATAGAAGACAAATTCCAGTTATCCGTACAATTTTCATATTCTAGCTTTTTTTTCCATTTCCATTTATTCTGATTTGTTTATGTTCTAACATTTGTTTATCTAATTTCATGATGAATATGTATATCTAGTAAGTTGTCATGTATGAATAACGTTTATAATTGATATATAATGATCTGTTTATGTCTGTTAGCTTTTGATGCTTAAGACAAAATAAATTCCATGTTATGTTATGTTATGCTATGTTATGTTATGTATTGGTTTGGTTTGTTATCAAATTATTATTTTGTATATTTCGTAAGAGAGGATATGACTGGATGAGAGTTAATCATTTTCTTATCCAAATAGAATATACATTTTACCCACGGCTACATGTATATCAGTTGATTCAAATTCTTGTTCTTCATATATTTTCATAGTTGAGTTTTGAACCAAATATAATTAACATTTTCAATAAATCATTTGAAAGTGGTTTATGTTTTGTTTAATGTTTATTATTGTTTAACAAAACCTTGTCACGAATTTGCTTTAACTAGTCTTTCGATATGAAATGCTGAATTCAAATTTTAGTTTGTGCTGTATGTACTTATTACTGTGTGTAATTTACTTTCTAAGTTTTTATTTCATCAATACAAGTTGGAAACTGGTTTAAAGTCATTTGTATCATTAACATCATATATGTATGTAAACTTAAAACGACAAAAACTTGTTTTTGAAAGTAAACATAAAATATATTAGTCACTGCTATTTCTTATTTTTTTCAAACGCAATTGTTTGTAAGAACGCTTTGGTATATGTAACATTTTCTACAAACATGTTAACTTGTTATACTACACAAATGTATCTGATTTATGAATAGCATACACTTTAGACATATACTGAACAAGCATAGTACATAATCTTGATAGTAATTCATAATATAACCATTCAAAATTTACTACTCATAGGAACGAATATTACTTTGATATCGTTTCATAGTATCGTTTCTATCCGGACTAACCACTTCTTTGATATTGCGAACATCATTGGTAGTAGCTTTTGTAATTGTTTTTGAAATTGTCGCAATTACTGTCCTGGAAACATTCAGCTTTATCTCATAAAGAACTTAAGGCTTTTACTTCCTCTTATCATGACGACGCTATTTCTTTAAGATTGTTATGTACGAGATCTAACAAATTAGGGCAGATGTCAAATATTTTTAAACGGTTTTTAAATATATGTTACGACCGATAATCACCATACCAAAAGTTTATAAAGAGTTGTTTGCTTTTCACTTGCCAAAGATCTTAATATCTAGATGTATCACTCATTACTGGTGGACTAAGATAGCAGTGCCTTTTCGTACATTTTTTCAAAGGCGAGCCTGTACCTGAGGATAACCACCGAACGAGCATATCTTTTTTAAACTAGGGATTAAAGTCTCTGCCGAGATTCGGACCCTTATTGATAAAAGACGCAATGACGCAAAGAGGAGAGAAGCAGAAATTTACTGAAACATTTGGCACCAGCGTTCACTTGTTTGTTACAAACCACGCCATCATTGTATCATTTATGATGATTGATACACGATAAACACTTAGATGAAATTGGTTTACGTAAGCTTGAATTTCTAATTTCACCATTTTGATGTTAATTATAGAATGTTGATAAAGCCGTTCATTGCAAGCCACAAGGGGGCGTGGACGCTAGCTTGCGGCTTGCAATTACCACTCCCGTCCATGAACAGACTAAATCGTACTGGGCTTATACTATTTACATACGACAAGAGGTTAACAACCGTGCTACATAACTGATTTTTCAATGGTCAAACATATGAAACATTTCCAATGATACTTTCAGGTACATTTAATGATTCTAAATTTTCCGGTAAATATTTTATGATATTTCATCAGCTTGAATGACAGCATTAGGGAATCAAATTGATAAGCAACGATATGTAAGAGATGGCATAGTTTCGTTTGTTTGATTATTTTAATGCACGTTATGGCTTAGAAACGAATAAAAGTTTACACCTTTAGGAAGGGCAAACATGAATTTTATAGCGCTTGAAGAATTGTTTTAGAGCATGTTAGATGCTTGTTACCTAAAGAAAGAGGCATAAATGTGAGAAAATTTAGCAAAATGTAAACAAATTTGTATTTTGAGTTTACGATTTCACTATAATTGTACAACAATGTGCACAACGGAAAAAAAGATGTTTAAGGTTATTTTCCAATGAATACTTTATAGAATAAATATTTAAAGATGATAAAGAACTCAAAATTAATTTGAAATTGATTTAGTACGATTCCTAGCCTTATTGAGTGAAAACCATATGAAAAATGTTTTTTGTTACGTCATTAGCACATTCTGTAAAACAAAACAGAGTTAGTCCTGATCTGATATTTTGCGCACAAGATATTGGTCTAGACCTGCTTAGTAAGGCATTTAATATAATTTTAATGATTGAAATTCCAGGGAGTGAAATATTTTTCTAAGTATCAAATCATATTTATGGAATCCATTTAAAAGCCTTAATTTGGTCTCTTGTTAAAGTATTTTGACAAAAAGACAAAAGAGAATCCCATAACAAGTAAAACACTTCGGACCACTTCAGAAAATTTATTTATGACGTTTGCGAATATTGAGAACTTCGGATCAAAATATTCTTTTGAAAATGTTTAAACATATCTAAGCATATGCCCATATGAGAAAGCATTTCGTAAACAGATCCGTATTAAGTTTAGAGCATGTTACAGAAACAAGTTACTATCTGATTTAAATTCGATGCTGCAAACAAACAACAACAATTTTTTATTTAAAAAGGTCTAGTTATCTTCTTTTTCGACTGTACGGTGTACATGTAAGGACGTAAAAGTACCTTTTCTGCAAGTCAATCAACCGTTTTAACCGATTTCACAAAAAAAGAAATCAACTCATTTTCATTTGTACATAGAATCCGTTTATTACGTTGTCGATTAAAGATAATTTTTCTTATGGATATACATATCTATGGTGGATGATTTGTGCCCAAGCGATCCCGACTAGCAAAAAATCAATCGATAATTAACAAGTACAAATGGCGGGTGCACGATATGAGGCGTGGGTCAATATAAATAAAATAACGTCGCCCCGAGCCGCCGCTTATAAGCGTGTTTTTGGCGCTCGAACCCGCCAGGACAAAAGTCGGTCGAGAATTAACAAGCTAAAATGGCGGGGTGCGGAGTGAAAATCGGGGCGAATTTGCTACTTGGCGTGTTTTAG